GAGAGAGAGAGAGAGAGAGAGAGAGAGAGAGGGGGAGGGAAAGGGGTATTCTATTACCAGTGACATCAAATCACTGTATTAAAATCACTCTTACAGTAGCAGAATTTAATAATATTAATTAATTAACAATTTTGATCAGTTATATCAGTAGCCCTGCCTTTAATCCTGTTGGTTTCTTTGGTGGTTCTTGTGGTTCCTCCACGGCGGCTGCAGCGGTGGCCTTGCCTCTGACTGTATACAGGTAAACCCTGCTTCTAAATGTCAGAAAAAATGAAATAAAATGATGTTATAATAAAATTATACTAAGTGTTTTACGATTTTGTTTTGATTAGTTTGGTAACATTTATGGTAACACATGGAAGCATCTGTCTTTTTGTTAATAAAAGTTTTCAAAAAAAAAAAAGTGAATGTAAAATATCCGAACTAAAAGTATTCAGCGGTGCCCGTATTTCGAGCCTATTTCTAAACTTTGTGGAATCCTGCATAAATTACACATTGTGTAGTCATAGTTAATCAACATGTTAGATAATAACATGTAAAATTTATATGGACGGCATTAGGTGTAATTTGTAGCATTTAAACTGCGTTATTATCATGATTCCATTCTTGTTGTCGCTGTGAGTGTATCTAGTTTGAATATGATTTTAATTCTGATGAAAATGTAAAATTTATTTTGTAGGATTCATGTTAACAGATTAAATATCACAAATTAAAGTTTGGCACAACTTTTCCGATGGGTTTAATTAAGGATTTTTCTATTCTGGGAATATATTGGTTGTTCATGTTGATGTCATTTTTAAAATAATGTACCATTATTTTTTATAAAGAGGGGAAGGCGTGTAGAATCCTGCATAAATTCCACATTGTGTACTCATAGTTAATCAACATGTTATTATCTAACAAGCATCTGTCCTGTATATGTAAATATTATTTTCTGTAGAGGCCCATAGGTAGGCCTATGCCTGGGACAGATACATATCACCTGTTAATAATGCACAATGATTAGTATGTAAATAAGTATAGCAGCCACATGTACGCATAGATTCCCTGTATATAATCTGTATCAAATTTGAAGCTTGTACATAATAAAGTCACTTTTGATCTGAGACTGAAGATGTGAGGTTGTTCTGTTATGCTTATGCTTCTCTGTGCACGTAAAGTGAAAGACTGAGTCGAATCCGAGCCCATAGAATTCGTTAATGGAAATTGATACACTGAAATTCAGTACAGTTATAAATTTAAGTTAAAGTCATTTTAGACTGTTCACAACAACTTGATTCCTAGCTAAATTTTGCGCGGTTCCGGACAGTGTGATTTACATAACATTTTTTTCTTTAGCTTCTGTTATCAGGATATACGCTACGGGTCGTTACCCCAGTCATGTAAAATGAATTTGCTCCATCTCCTCCTAGCCCACTGGAAACTTAAATAGGACAAAACCATAAAAACCACATATTTTTTCTTTAGATTCTGTTATCAGGGCATACGCTACGGGTTGTTACCCCAATTATGTAAATTGAATTTGCCCCATCCCTTCCAGCTGGCCCAAAGGAAACTTAAATAGAACAAAACCATTAAGACCAAACACAATCACAAATGAATTTCTGAGACGCAAATAAACAATACATTTCAGATAAATAACCCAAAATATTCAAGTTAGTGTAGCACTGTAGGGGGTCAAAGTCCAACTCATTACATTGGAGGTTCCAGGAGGCACGTTTTCCTTGATCTTGAATAGAAACTATGCTGTGAAACACATATTTCTTACCTGAGGCCATCTTCAACGGTCTGTAACCCGTATGGTGTTCTTAAAAATCGAATCAAGCTTGTGGACCGGTGCATTTTTTGGAAATTTCTGAGATGGTACACTCCGGCTCCTTGTTATGACACAAGCAAAATTGGGTTAGTAATCATGCGCAGTGGTTCATTTATGACGTCATATCCGTAAAAGAAGAAGCATGGCCGCAGTGAGAGACCGCATTCAACAACTTGATCAAATAGAACAAGATATTGCTTCTGCATTGAACAGTGCAGGTGAGAAACGCCGATATTTTGTAACTGCTAAAATATTTGATTTTTTCAAATAGCATGATTTGATGCTTCAGAAGTGTGAGCCTTTCTTTTTTATCAACTAGTTGACACAACTTGTACTAGTCTAGTACAATTTACTACAAAATTAACAAATGCCTTTGACAATGACAATGCTGTCATTGTTGTCAGTGTCAGTATCAGTTTTTTTTTACTTATTTTGTTTTATCCTTTTTCTTTTTTGTCTTTCACCAATAATTATTTTGCAGGTAGCAACAATATGATCACTAAAGTAATCCATGAAACTAAAAATAAAATAAAATAAAATAAAATAAAATAAAATAACATAACATAACATAACATAACATAACATAACATAACATAACATAACATAAAATAAAATATTAAGTTGAACTAAAACTTCGTGGATTTCTCAAAATATGTGATGAAAGTGTTGCCAAACCTTTTCATTTTCAACAAAAGCAAATTGTATTTTACCTTATTTTTTATTTGTCTTTTTAAAAATTATTCATCTTTTAAGGATGATTATATTGATAAATAAATTAATGAATATATTTGCCTAATGTTTGGCATTATTTGGATTTTAACTCTTAATTCCCTAGAATTATGTGGTCACTTAATGATTGATTAAAAAAAAATCATTAAGTGTGTTGTTTTTCTTTTAAAAACAGGTCAGGCAGTACAAGAGTTATCAAGGGACAAAACAACACTGAGAAATGTGGAGAGTCACGCTAGTGCCTTCCTGAAGACGCTGCAAGGTGTGGAGAATGGACTGTCCAAGCAGATTGATTATCTGTCACAGGTCTCTACAGGTCAGTGAAGATGTGTGTGAGGGTGGGGATGGGGAGGGAGAGGATTGCAGGTAGGGATGGGGATAAAAAGAAGGGATTGGTATATAGGGAAGAAGGGATGTTATATGAAATTATTTTCTGTCTTTTCTGTCTCAAGTGCACCATATTCAAATTACATATAAAAGAAGACATGGTTTATAGATTTCAAGAATAAAAGGTTCTTGTAAATAGTAGAGACAATTAAATTGCACATTGTTTCTCATTGCTTTATTTGACTAGTGGTTTTCTTATTGTCCAGGTCAGCCACACGAAGGCTCATGTTACGGTGCACATAAGGACTATCAAATGTCTCAGCACAGAGTAGAACATGTGAGGACTAGATTATCAGATATGGACAGAGTAAAGACTGAACTCGCGCTGAGACAACATGCACTACGAAGTGGATGGATACAACAGCAACAACAACAGCAGCAACAACAACAACAACAGCAGCAACAACAGTACCATCAGCAACATTGAGACATAAACTTCACTTCATTTTTTTTTCACCATTAGTTGTCCATGTGTTGCTGATAACTGGCTTACATAAGTACAGGTGAAGCAACAGGGATTTCAATACAGAATGACGACTCTGGTATCTCAGTACTAATGGTATCATAGAAATTAGGATGCTGTTAGAAGAAATGCAAAAGTGATATTCTGTATTTTCATTGATAGCATTTGACATATTTGTGGTGCTGACAGTGAACAGTACATGTAATAGCAGTATTTTCATAAGAATCCTCATTTGTTGCAATGCCATAAGATAATCATTTGAAAATCACAGTCAGTAATGGCAGAAATGCCAGTTTCATCATGTTTTTACTGGTGTTTGTGTTGACTTAAAATGAAGGAGCATACATATTTCCTTTAACAGCAAAATGTTCATGTCTCTTTCATGAGGGAGGATTAACCACTGACATTTTTCATGGCCATTTTAAGAAGTAGGAGATATTTCTGTGAAAGTTCAAGGAAAAAAATGTTTTTTTAAGGAATAAGATACAGTAAAAAAAAGAATGGCATTTGTAGGAATACACAGTATTGCTTAGAATTATCACTTAAAAACATTACTTTGATATTTTTTTTTTACAATTTGTCAGTTATACATAAAAATCTAAGCTATTATCATTGTAAATAATACTGCAATAAAGCAAACAATATTTTAATGTAAATTTGTCTCGCAATCAAGTACAGATAAGGGTGGAGCAGGTATACTGTCAAATCCTTTACATGGTCATGAAAAACATTCATGCAGAACAACTTGTCTTCAAACCAGGCAATGCTTGTAATAAATTACTAGTAGAGACACAAATCAAATAAAATTGTATATATTATATAATCACAAAACGTTGCTTAATCCAGTGGCTTTTGGCTAAATGAAATTAAAATTTGATTATTAAAGCTATGGACGTGATGTGCTCAGCAACAAAAAGACCGACACTGTAGTTTTGTATGAGAGCAAGGTCAAAGTTTTTTACGAGAAAAAACTGATCCAGAAAAAATCCCAGTTAGGAAAGCCACGTTAAAGATATGATTGAAAAGAGGTGTAATCAAAGCAGTGATCAAAAGTAACACCTTGTTGGGAAAACAGTACATTTTTGCAAGCCAAGACAGGCCCGAGGTGTATCCGGTCACGTGACACCAGCCACAAGCGAACAGCGTCGAGACACACACTGTCAGCATTTTAGTAGCTGCCAATTTCCAGGGAAAATGTCGGCGTTCACAGAAGTTAACAAAGTTGATATGTCACTAGGTAATATTTCAGAACATTTTGAGGTGTAGACAAATGTTAATACATCTTTTTGTGTATAGATGCGTGATAAGTTGAAAATAATTCATTGACATCGGACGGTTTCAAACTAAGCCAAAAAGTAAACAATCGTTCCGTAGAAAATTAGAAATGTTCACCAAAAATACTGAACACCCTTCTTACGATTTATGTTTAAAATAATGTTGTTGATGCTCTAATTTAACAGCAGCTTCACGTCCTCTTTATTGCATGTTTTGACGCTTTTTAAACGCAGAGAAATGTGAGAGAAACTAACGGCGATGGTTGGAATTCAATGGGGATGCCATACAATCTTTGTCTAAAACTCCTGTTCGTGCCCCCCCCCCCCATTTTCATATACCCACTACTGTATACATTAAAGATAGAAATGTTTAGTTTCATTTGGGTGTAATAATTACGAGCTTTGACACGGGGAGGGGGAGGTTTGCAAAAAATAATTATGACATATACCAGTTTAGTTGTGGCTTAATTTGCTTTCAGATGACATTATAAAGCTGAATAGGAAAGAGAAGAAAAGTCTGGCTGTTCAAAAGAGAGCCAAACAGACAAAGAAAGTAGTGCCCGCCATGGCAAAGGTGAAACAGTTCAGATCAAAGTTCAGTAAGGGTGCAGGAAACAAGTTTGCAGGACAAACACAGGTAAATTTAAAAGCCTTCTTACACTACATACTTGCCTCAGTGTTTGGCCATACATGCTTTGCAGGTAAGGCCTCATAACACCCTGTATTAGTGTGTTAGAGACTTGTTAGAAACTCTTGTGACTATTTGTGGCCTCGCCAACGAATGACATACAAAAGAGGTAGCAATGCGGCACAGCTGAAATAAGAAGAAAAACACTGTACTGGTTCTCGAACCAATACAAAATTACTGTATTTGCAAATGATAAGCTTCACAGAGGGCACACTGTTACCCCAGGATGTGTATATTTATAGCCTTGAGAGTTTGTAACACTTGGTTAAGAACCTGGCATGTAAGGTCAGAAACTGAGGCAAACTTGTTATCTATGGTGCATTTACAAGTATCTCTCAAAATTTACAATTTAAAGAAAACAGCAATGAAAAAGGACTGCTAGTAACTGGTTTATATACTCATTATTATTACCTTGTAATGATTTCTAAATAATTGCTTATATGTTTAAACAGCTAAAAGGTCAAGGTAACAGAAGGCAGAATTTGTCCCAGAAGCGAGCTCAACTTACTACCCAGAAAGGCAGGCGACCTGTGAACACAGTGGCCAAGCGAGCTCTGCAGGCAGCTAGGAAGACTTTGACCAGGAAGAATACACAACAGATGCAGAAACAGGCCAGGCAGAATCTCCAGATGCAGAAGAGAGGGCTGCAGGTTACTGATAATCGGAAATTTCATTGATAATCAGAGATTCAGGGATTTAAAGCTGTTAAATTCATAGTGTATGTTTTTTTTTCCTCTTGATATATCATTTTTTTAGCAGTTTTAAAGCTTCCTCCAGACCATGGTTGTAAGATCACAGAGCCATTTCTTCCTACTTTTTCTTACAATGTAAAATAATGTCTGATATGATTGAAGGAACAGCCAGCTGTACAGAATAGAAGAAGGAAGCTTAACAGAGGTTATGTTGGTCAGCAGGCGCAGCAGATCCAGCAGCCACAACAAAGGAAAAGACAGTGGAGAAACAAAGCAGGGAAAAATAACAACCAAAATATTCTGACTGTCAGCATCAATAATAATAGGTGTGTAGTCAGCTCTCGTCTCTCTCTCTCACACACACACACACTCATTTAGACGTCCTTAGATAAACACAATGTAAATGCTAATGTGAGTCAAGTGATGTAAAAACTCTCTCACTCTTTCTCTCAACCTCAGTTGAACACATGATATCATATCAGTTCTCCATCTCTCTCTCCCTCTCTGTTAACCTCAGTTGAACACATGATATCATAGTTCTCCGTCTCTCTCTCCCTCTCTGTTAACCTCAGTTGAACACATGATATCATATCAGTCCTCTGTCTCTGTCTCCCTCTCTGTTAACCTCAGTTGAACACATGATATCATATTTGTTGTCCGTGTCTCCAGACGTCAGCAGAACCAAGTTTTGGTCAGAGGTCAGTATCCACAGCAGGGAGCTCAGGGAAGGAACAACCAGCAGAGGAGACAGAGGGGGAACATGAACAGGCAGCAGAATGTGAAACAAATCATACAGGTAGGACACACACTGGAACAGAACCAGATAGGTAAAGGGGATTCTGAAGAGTATTGAATACACCTTGAGTATTGCATGAAGTTAACTCATTGTAGAATTATTATGGAAGTTTTGACAATGTCATAAATATTTCAGTTTTCTTTTCTAGGCACTTTTTTTTTTTTGAGCATATTGCATATTGTGACAACTTTTCACTATTTAAAGAACAAATCCAAGGGCTCCTCAGTTTAGAGGGAGAGATGATAATAACTTTCATACAGTGTAACAAGATATTTCCTATTTTTCATTTGATAGCATTTACAACCTTCAGTTCGCAGACAGTACAACATGAACAGTGGAAATATGTCTGTAAACCAGGTAGGTTTAAACCAGGTGCCCAAATTTATCGATGCAATACTGTAGAAATATATCAAGTTTCATATATATAAGTTTCAAAGACAGACGCCCCCTGCTCCAGGTCCATACATAAAGAAGGTGTTAAATAATTTTTCTATAACTAATTATTGCATAGAAATTTTAGAGATAAATGTATTAACTTAAACCAGGTTTAGGCCCAATTGAAACCTGGTATTAGAGAATGGAGGGAGGTCAAACAATTACATTTTTGCGCGATTCTTTAAATAAGGTGAAATCATTATTGCAGACTGGACGCACAATGAGTGACAGGTTTTCGGGTGGGAACCAGATGTCCATGGCCAGAGGCGGCGGGAGAAGGAGAAACAGACAGAGAGGCGGACGTGGTGGCGGCGGCGGTGGTGGTGGAGGCAACAACTTTGTACAAAACAGGCAGCAAAACAGACAACAGAATCAAGGGAATAGGAACCGGAAGAGGCAGACAAGAGGGCGACGTGGGGGTGGGCCGCAGAGAGGGGGTGGTAGCGACAGAGTTGTATTTTGGTAGAAATGTGAAAGAGACTAGGTTCGCTATGTGATTAAGGTGGTCAGATGTAGTTGTGTTTTTAAACGTCCAGAAGTGAGTTTTTAAGTTGCTGATGCAGATTTGAGTACTTATTTTTACACACTTTTATATTGCTGATAATTATTTTCATAGATGAAATCTTGGTGTTGTGTTGATTTGGATTGTCTTAAAAATGATAAAAAAATCGCCAGTGAGGGTCATTTGACACGTTTTAGCCTAAACTATTTCACACACCTATTATAACTGTTTTTTTTTTTTCTTGAAGACTTACGGAATCCAGGATAAAGGCAGGTTGCATACAGTGTGTTTGTTTAGAAACTCTTCATCATTTTAAGACATGGGTCTATGCATATTTTGTAATTTCAGGTCAAGGAACTTTTTATAACACCAAAAAAAAACAATGAATGGGAATTTTTTGTATGAACAAGCTTACATTTTCATTTTATTTATTTGACATCAAAAATTTCATGCGTTTTCATATGTATATAAATTTGTAAAAAGGTTTTGGTGGCATTTGATACTATAGTTTTGATATTATGTAAACATTTAATGGCATTGTTACAGTACAATTTATTCAGATAATTAACCTTACAGGAAGTAGAAATTTGAGATTTTGTAATTGAGAATGCTACGTGAATATATGTAATATTTTAGTGACTGGTTCAGCTGTGAACAGTTAGAAAGGTGCTACGTGTAACCTAAAAGATCTTGGCATGGTAAATAGTTTACTCTGCTGTGTCCTGTACTGGGTAATATCATGAAGTGACAGTTTTCTTCAGTTGGTTGTTATGTAGATATTTTTCATTTTATGGTACAAGTTATTTATAGTAAATGGAATAAATGTACATTCATATTTTTTAGATTGTTGATTTTGATTGACGTGAATCTAAATAAATTATGACACATTTATAGACTAAGTAAACAATAAAAGCTTTGACTCTAATGGGCTTCAATTTGATATATGTTCATCTTTTTCCCCAGAAGAATAATATATTAGAAGTCTGCCACCTTAAGCAGTACTTGCATACTCCATACAACTTCTGGTACAGACAAACCATGGACCAGTGTGTAAAAATTAAACTAAAAACCAACTCTATTCAGGCTCCAAACAAATTAAGAACAAAATCATATTCGATTGAATTTATTGTAAGATTTAAAGTAATCCTTTTGCTGATATAGCATAACAATTCACATATTTCACAATAAGTGTCCCTGCATGTTTACACAAGAATGGTTGCCGGTGAGAAATAACAAGGCAGCAAAGCTGTCAAATGTACNTATGAGAATGGGGTGTATGTCTCTCCAGACGTCAGCAGAACCAGGTGTTGGTCAGAGGTCAGTATCCACAGCAGGGAGCTCAGGGAAGGAACAACCAGCAGAGGAGACAGAGGAGGAACATGAACAGGCAGCAGAATATGAAACAAATCATACAGGTAGGTCACACACTGGAACAGAACCAGATATGTGAAATGGATTTTGTAGAGTATTGAATTCGCCTGGAATATTAAGTAAAGATACATACGAACCGAGCATCGGTGGAGCGTGGATTCCCAGTAACACATCTAAACCATTCTTATATGACTCAAATAAATTCGACATGCCAAGGGATAAACTGAATAGATCACTCGATCAGCCATAAAAGACCTTTAGACTGCTCCTTTCTTTAAATTTTTGGTTGTAAATTTAACCTACTTCCGTGACTTACTTTCCTGCCCCATTGAAATACAGCTTAGAATGCCAGCAGAAAAATCTGTTCAGACATCATTTTCGGGTAATTTTAAACAATGCCTTTTGGTAATTCTCTTAGTTATACTACTTGAAACTATATGCTGGCATTTGGTTGGTTTTTGTGACAAAAAATTGACTTTGTATGCATCTTTAACTCTTTGTAGAATTATCATAATGGGTTTGACAATTTCACAAGTCTTTCTGTATTATTTTCATGGCACATTTTTTTTTAGCATATTGTATATTTTGACAACCTGCAGTTAAGATGGATGATATAACTTTCATCCTGTTTTTTTCTACCGTGTAATAAGATATGAACTGTTACAAGTACTGGATTTTTTTTTTATTTCAAAGTGATATTTTCTGTTTTTTATTTCAAAGCATTTACAACCTTCAGTTCGCAGACAGTACAACATGAACAGTGGAAATATGTCTGTAAACCAGGTAGGTGCCCAAATTTATCCATGCAATGCTGTTGAAATATTGCACACTGTAATATAAGATTCATGATATTTTGCTTGGGGTCTTCAATGTTTGGAACCACTCGCAGGGGAAAATTTTGTCACCTGCAGAGGTTTCACAGGTGGACACCCCCTGCCCCAGGTGACGTCTATACATAAAGAAAGTGTTAAATAATTTTTCTATTACTAATTATTGCATAGAAATTTTAGAGATAAATGTATGAACTTAAACCAGGTTTAGACCCAATTAAAATCTGGTATTAGAGAATGGAGGGAGGTCAAACAATTACGTTTTTGCAAGATTCTTTAAATAAGGTGAAATCATTATTCCAGACTGGACGCACAATGAGTGACAGGTTTTCGGGTGGGAACCAGATTTCCATGGGCAGAGGAGGCGGGAGGAGGAGGAACAGACAGAGAGGCGGACGTGGTGGCGGCGGCGGTGGTGGTGGAGGCAACAACTTCGTACAAAACAGGCAGCAAAACAGACAACAGAATCAAGGGAATAGGAACCGGAACAGGCAGACAAGAGGGCGACGTGGGGGTGGGCCGCAGAGAGGGGGTGGTAGCGACAGAGTTGTATTTTGGTAGAAATGTGAAAGAGACTAGATTCACTATGTGATTAAAGTGGTCAGATATAGCTGTGTTTATAATCGTCCAGAAGTGGGTTTTTAAGTTGCTGATGCAGATTTGAGTACTTATTTTTACACACTTTTATATTGATAATAATTATTTTCATAGATGAAATCTTGGTATTGTGTTGATTTAGATTGTCTTAAAAATGATAAAAAAATTGCCACTGAGGGTCATTTGACATGTGTTTTAGCCTAAACTGTCTATTTAAAACACCTGTTATAACTGTTTTTTTTTTCTTGAAGACTTAAAGTATCCAGAAGGATTAAGACAGGTGGCATACAGTGTGTTTGTTTAGAAACTTCATCATTTTAAGACATGGGTCTATGCATATTTTGTAACTTCAGGTCAAGGAACTTTTTATAACACCAAAAACACAATGAATGGGAATTTTTGGTATGAACAAGCTTACATTTTCATTTTATTTATTTGACATAAAAAGTTTCATGCATTTATATACATATGTTTGTAAACAGGTTTGGGTGGCATTTGATACTATAGTTTTGATATTGTGTAAACAATTAATGGCATTGTAACAATTTATTCAGATAATTAACCTGACAAAAAGTAGAAATTTGCCATTTTATGATGGAGAATGCTTTGTAAATATAATATATATTTTAGTGATGTCCAGCTTAAGCTGTGAACAGTTAGAAAGGTGCTACATGTAACCTAAAAGATCTTGGCATGGTAAATAGTTTACTGTGCTGTGCCCTGTACTGGGTAATATCATGAAGTGACATTTTTCTTCAGTTGGTTGTTATGTAGATATTTTCATTTTATGGTACAAGTTATTTATAATAAATGGAATAAATGTACATTCATTTTTTTTAGATTGTTGATTTTGATTGACATGAATCTAAATAAATTATTACTTTTATAGACTAAATACACAATGAATGCTTTGACTCGATTCTGCTCCAATTGATATCTTCATCTTTTTACCCCCCCCAGAAAAATAATAAATAAGTGTGCCAGCTTAAGCAGTACTTGGTACTCGATGACTTCTGGTGCAGACAATTCAAGGTGTGTGAAAATTAATCAAACTAAAAACCAACTCAATTCAGGCTCCAAACAAATAAAGAACCAAATCATATTCAACTGATTTTATTGTAAGATTTAAAGTAATCCTTTTGCTAATATAGCATATCAATTGACACATTTCTCAGTAAGTGTCCCTGCATGTTTACACAAGAATTAGTTGTCAATGAGAAATAAAATTTTTCCTTGGCCTTCGTTTCACTGAGACCTTTATCTGAGTGGCTCTTTCATGCAGATTTCAGTTCGCTATTGAACATAATTTTTCTTTTTTGAATATGTAATTTGAACCTGCAGCTTGTTTTAGTGGAATTTGAATTAAAATATTCTACATGATCTGTATCCTTTCTAGGGATCTAAGATGAACATTTAGGTACAAGAAGACTTGATACAAATATCTTGTGTAAAGTTGGACACAAACTTCTTTCACATGTTTCTACATCTCCAACTGTTTATATATTAGTCTATCATACCTTATACAGGGTATTATCTTTTTGTAGGACATCACTTCTCGCAAAAGCTTGAAATTTAATTCCCAATTAGACACTAAATAGATTCCATGCAGGGATTACTCAACGAGCATTAAGTGTGTCAGCCATATTTGATCAGCAGATCTGTTAGTCTGCTGTTCTGAATGTGCTCTTAGACTAATTTAAAAATCTTTTTTTTTTCATTCCATACTATTCTCAGCTCTTGCCCCCAGGTTTTAAAGTAGAGAATATCTTGGTGCAGCGCAACTGGGTACAAATGTCTTGTATGAAATTGCACACGTAGGAGTCCCTCTCTGATTTCTTATTGTTGTCAAATATAACGACAAATGTCAGGCGAGGCTCGATCTGGGCAAGAAAATATGTGCTCTGGACTTGCTGAAAAATATGAAACAATATATTTATATTACCAATTTTTAATTACACCATTAGAAATGGCTAATTGGTAATTTAAGAAGTTTGGAATAAAGAGCATTATCAAAAACAAGGCAGCAAAGCTGTCAAATGTACAGACAAAAAACAGGAAATAACTATGCTCAAAATAGGCTACTGTCAATTCTGATGCAAAAGTACATTATGTTAAACTGCAAATTCAACATCAAATTTTAATTATGCTCAACAGGTAATACCAATATTAGTAAAATGTGTAACAAGTTCACACTTTAAAAATNGACGGCGACGACGGCGACGGCGACGACGGCGACGACAGACGCAGATGATGGCTATATGTACAGACACATCTGTGTCTGTACATAAAAATTATCCTTGTCCTCCTTTTCACCAATACTTTCATCTGTGTTGCTCTTTCTTCCAAATTTCAATCCTCTATTGAACATTATTTTCTATTTTGAATACATAATTTGAATCTGTAGCTTGTTCTAAAAATATTTCTTAAAATATTCTACATGATCTGTATCCTTTCCAGGGTTCTAAGATGAACATTTAGGTACAAGAAGACTGGATACAAATATCTTGCGTAAAGTTGGACGCAGACTTCTTTCACATTTTTCTACATCTCCAACTGTTTATATATTAGTCTATCATACCTTATACAGGGTATTATCTTTTTGTAGGACATCACTTCTCACAAAAGCTTGAAATTTAATTTCCAATTAGACACTGAATAGATTCCATGCAGGGATTACACCACGAGCATTCAAGTGTGTCAGCCATATTTGATCAGCAGATCTGTTAGTCTGTTGTTCTGAATGTGCTCTTAGACTAATTTAAAGATCTTTTTTTTCTTATATTCCATCATTCCATACTATTCTCAGCTCTTGCCCCCAGGTTTTAAAGTAGAGAATATCTTGGTGCAGCGCAACTGGGTACAAATGTCTTGTATGAAATTGCACACGTAGGAGTCCCTCTCTGATTTCTTATTGTTGTCAAATATAACGACAAATGTCAGGCGAGGCTCGATCTGGGCAAGAAAATATGTGCTCTGAACTTGCTGAAAAACATGAAACAAAATGTTTTTATATATATGACCAAAAATGTTTTTAAAATTTACTGCCTCAAATTTAACAGAATGGTTACTGGATTCTATAAAACCTTAAGGAAGTTTGGATGAAACCGCATTAAAAAAAATTAAAAATATTATTCAATATATTTTAAAGATCAAAAATATTTTGTATTTTATCAATTTGAAAGCAAAATGTCACCTTGTCATAGAAATGCACCACTTTGTCAATGTGGCCCAGTTCAGCAGCTCTGTCATTGATAATCATTATTACATTAGGCCAGTGGGCAGCAGGACGCTCCTGTAATATATATTATTATTATGTATTTATTCATATAATATATCCCATATAATATATCCGATTTTAATTTATAAACTATCAGATTTGCTGTCCATCAGCAGAGCCAACATGATCCTGACTGCTGCCAGTCCTGAAGGCTTTTTGTAGGTCTGTGACAGATGGACTGGCAGTTTTACCACCTTTCTCAGGGATTTGAGTCATACAAAGAGCTCACAATACATACCCCAGGGTACGAAAACACAGCTGGGTAACTGTCCAGACCCGTGGGGGATTCCACGATTTTTAGGGGGTGGTGATAGCCAGGCCCTCTGTACGGCTCCTCGAGACCACTGGTATCAAACACCGCAGATACATGGGATGCATCGGACTTCTTGTGGAATGTCACAATTCTGGAGATTATGAATAATTGTACTTCAGGTGTTAAAATGCATGCATGCATGTGCATGCACACATGCATGCGCACACACACACATACATACACACTCACACATCAAAAGTAATCAGTAACATTTTACTGCAAAACATTCCTAAGTTTAAATATTTCTGTCTGATCTTACATATTATAAATTTACAGGTTTTCACTTATGTTAAACAAAACAGGAGTGGTAAAAATACCTGGCATAGAAATCCACGGGAGTCTTGGCTATCAAAGCTTTCAGGTCCCCAGGAGGAGCTTGCTTACTCAAGGTTTCATAGAAATACAAGCTGAACTGCAAAAAAGATGTATGCATTACGTCATTACATCACATGCATTTTCACCCAAAATTCCTTTTATCTCTTGAAAAGTTTGTGACCTTGAAATAAAGGCCAAAGTATATTTTTCCTCAATTCATCCAAAAAATATTAATTATGACCACTCTTTCAATTATGGTGGAAGATAAACAATTTCTTTCATACATATTAAATATTGATAAATAATAATAATAATAATAATAATAATAAACCTCAGCTGCAAGATTAGTATGCTAAGGAATGAAATAAATTTCTCCAGCACACAAGCTACTCACCTTAGCCACAAGAGCCGCCTTATATCTCACCAGCCACTGGTACAGAGCTGGCATACTGGGCTGACGAGAAAAACCAAGCTTCTTACTTTGCTAAAAGAATAAGATAATTACATAATAACTTTCTGTCGGAATAAAGTGCTAACTGAGCTCTTATGTTCTTTTTAATTTCACAATTCAATTACAAATTTTTCCTGGTTGACAATTTGTGGATTGTAAGACAGAAGTTCAAAATGTGATGAAAAAGTTATCTCTGAAAAGTAATTAACTTTTAAGTGTAATAAATACATAAATTCTACAAAATGAAATAAATGAACAAACAAATAAGAAGAAAAGCAAATTTAATGGATAAATGACTAAACAAAAAAATATATGAAAATAAAAGTGATGCATTGACATTAATTCACACAATAAAAGTAAAATGCAACAAATAAATATATAATAAAAAATTTAAAATATAATAAAATAAAATGAACTGTCACCTCTCTGCTCTGTAAGGCAGGCATCCATGAGGCCAGTTTGCTGTGAGCATCGTGAAGATGGATGAGAGAGGAAAGGAACTTTAACTGAGCCATGTCCATCTGAGCTAGCAATAGGTTATGAACTATGTCACACTCTAGGCTGAAACAAACAGAATTTTATTTTTTAAACTTTCGGAATGATCTGTGATAGTTTTGTACATACAAATTTGTAAATAATTTAGGTAAAATATTTTAAAATGGCAAACAGAAGTATGCACAATGGATCCTAGAAATGCTAAATCAAATATTTTCCATGAGTCTGAATTTACCATGATCCCTGGTATAGCTGATATGGTCAAACACTTTCCTTACAAAAACACTTATTGCAAAAGGTGAATTAAGAAAAGTTATTTGTTTGTATAAAACCCCCAAATCCTAAACCTTAATAAATCCAAATTAGAAATCATTTTTCAAAGGTCTAAATACACATATTCAGACAAATAACAGGTCTTTTGATCCACATAATAATCATAGCATAAAAAAAACATTGTGTGATGAAAAGCTTGCCTAACATGATAATTTTATCCCCTTGATAAAAATGATATTAGTTCTTTTAAGTTCAAAAACTGAAAGTGAAAGTCCAATGATCACCAACCTGAAAGCATTCTTCAAGGGACTAAGTATAGGATGATGAAAACTCTTCTGGTGAGCCTGGATGATCTCTGTGATCACGTTCTCCAGGTCCTCATAAGTGGTCTTCTGGCTGCCCATGGTGGCCAGCTGCTCATAACTGGACGATGGTCAAGGCATTGAATTATACTGGTAATTAATAATAATATTACATGTATCACAGTTCAGTTGTTAAGGTGGAAGAAAAATGGGGGTCACCTGAAGTTGACCAAGATATATATAGGCCTTTGTATGTGTAAAGTGAGTTTTTTCCAAGAGTTCAACAGCCAGCAGGAGGGGAGGGGAGGGGGATATTTTGTCTCAAAAAGAGGACCTTTTACCTTAAAATCTTTATGTAGCTAGATCAAATTTTACCCAGAGTGGACCTTCTTCTGGCAAAAAGGGCAGTTTGTTTCAACCACTGAACCCAACCTAGCTAGGGGCCTGCAAGGCATGAAATTATAATTAACAGAAAATAGAAAAGAAATAGGACTAAATCATGGAGCTCTGTGCATAGGAAAAATTGCCAAGAGTTGTATAAGAGTGGTAGATGAAAATTTTCTGGGTGAGCTAATTGCTCTACAGATTTTGAAGTTAAGATAACTTGCTGCTTATACATATAAACAATGATCAATGAATTCCTAGTCTAAAACTGTTAATTAACCTAGCCGTTCTGTCAAAAAGGATACAAGTCCATCATTTTTGTTCTCGCTGTAAGAAACTGACACAGTTGCCCACAGAGGTGTCCCAGAATCCTCTCTGGTGTCCGTACCTTGCCAGGATAGTCCGAGGCACTAGCAGCATGCTCCTCAATCTTCTTCAGCTCTGACAGCAGTACACTGTAACTGCTGCGAAGATTCTGGAAGGATTGAGATTTCAAATGTAAGCTGTTGACATATCATTTAAAAAGGCCAGTTTTAACCAGGTGAGTTTAGACAGTAAATCAAACTACTTTGTGTTATCACAGGAAAGGGATTCCTTTGAAATACTGTTGTCCGATGCATAATTTAGTCTTATTTTTAATCTTTGGTATTTTCTGTTCATTTGCCAAACACAAACCTGTGCATAATCATAAACTTATCATTATAGTTATTATCAAAGTAACTTTAAATATGTAGATAAGTTAAAAGAAGTTAATTTTACAAAAGGATGAATATAAAACAAAATTCAATGCATTAAAAGTAATTCAGCTCAGCATAGAGGAAGGGTGATAAGTACATCTTTTCTGCCGAACCACTTCTGCCCCAAGAACATCAGTGACATATACATCTTCTCACTGAAGGCCAGGTGACCCAGGGAGTTGAGCAGCAAACCCCAGGAGGACCCGAATGCTGCATCATGACTGTCACGCTCCTTCTCCTGGAAAAGAAATGGTCATGATATTTCATGAAAATTCATGATTTCATGACAATTAATTCATAATTTCATGACAGTTCATACAAGTATTCTTAATTTTACCTATTTCTCATTCTAACAGGCTGTATAATTGCCCTAAAGAGCTTTCTTACAATGATACATGAATTTTTATTCACGCCATCTAAGCAGTTTTATTTGAAGTGGAAATACTCCTTTTAAGCTTTTTAGTACTGGTAACTAAAAAATCATGAAAATGGTATTTTTATACTGATCATAAATGTACCACCATAAAAAAAATAAAATATTATCCAGTTCTAAATCAGACATCACCCTGTCTGTCAACTTACTGACAATTCCTTTGCTTTATCAAAAGCAAATTGACTCAAGCACTGGAAGAAAGTCTCTAGGAATGCCTGCTCCTCCGGAACTGGGGGTAAAGCAGCAGCCATAGTCTAAATTGCACCTGAATCACAGGCCAAGTCAGCTAAGAGATCTGAAAATTAAAACAAATTTACAATAGCATGAGGCAAGCCACTGAGTGGAGTTTGTTCATTAAATGTTTTAAATTTTACTAGACATATTTCATTTATGAAAATTTTTACTTATAAAGAACACTTTGATTACCAATACTTGTCCTGTTTCTGATGATTAACTTAGATCCAAGTTGTTATAACCCTGTTATTGTTGTTGAGAGAGTAGAAATTACTACAACAATTTGAACATATTACTACAAGACGTACCATTTAAGAACTACACTGTCTACAGTACATGCACTGCACTGTATAATATTCACTGGTCACCTCACACTTTATCCTAGTTCAGTGACATCATTACAGAATTATATCTTCTCGTTCAAATGAACTTTTTCATCACACTGCTACGACTGCATAACGTCGCGGCAACAAAGAATAAAAAGAAACTACTTGAACCCTGTTTACATTTCAATAAACGAGGGATCAGTTAACTGCTCTCCATACACAGAAGAGCGGATCCAAGATAGGACAAGCAGCACATGCAGAGCAGTGTACAAAAAAATTGTAAATTTGAAACTATTTCATCATTTAACCTCAACAATGTTTTATTCTATTTGAAAGGGTTTGTAGTTCTGTTGAAAAGTTAACTTTTTAATTTTTTATTCTTACTTCCTTGAATAGAAAGAAATAAATTTGAATTCAAGTGTAATAATGATAAGATTAGACACATTTTAAGATTTTTATTGGATATTTTTGTCTGCCATAAAATAATAAGAGAGAGAAAAAAGGTGACAATAAAAAAAAAACAGATTTGTATACATCTGATTCGTATCCAGGAGATCCAATATTTAAAAAAACAAGGAATTCATCAATAAACGCTTCTGCATTGTTTATTAATAAAATATCAATCAATATTCTCAGTAATAATGCAGCTACAAATCTTCTAAAAATGATAAAAAAATAAAGAAATAGTTAAACAAATAAATAAATGGGAAATTAAAAAAAAAATGAATTTCATACTGCCTTATTATTCTTTAAGCAGTCACTTGATAGAAATTAATGAGAAATATATTAAAATATTGATACTTGATTTAAAGTTAAGCACATTTCTATACCTACAGTTATCAAAAATATTATTTTCTTGGACAAAAATCTTTTGTTTAACATGAGAACATGTTTAATTAAAATACAAAATCAGCTCGAAAAATTTGATTTCTCTTAGTAATAACAATTCAACAAATTACTAATAATTTAAAACTGGTCAATGGAAGAGGGATTGAAAGGAAAAAGAAAGACATGATTGGCACTGAACCATGAAAAAAAAACTATCAAGAGCTGTCTTCATAGGGCGGTAAACCAAAATCTTCTGGCTTAAATTCCTCCAGAGATTTCAATATCAAAGTGACTTTATCCCTGAGCTGTGATTGGTCAGCTCTCTCATCTGGTATCCAAACACACTGCATTCCAGCAGCCACTGAGGCGAGAGCACCGTTGGTGGCATCCTCAAACACCAAAACCTGGCAGGACAATACATGAAACGATAGTTAAGCAAATACAAATTAATAGCAAATATAATTTTCCCTTCTTTTCTACCCCAAGAATTGTACCAAATCAATTAAAACATCAGCCTCTGGAACAAGGACAATTTTTCATAAACATATAAACAAAAGCCGAAGGAAATACTTTTCTCAAATATAAAAAAATGTAACTAGTTAAGTCTGACCATGTTAAATGTCATTTACTATTTTCACACATCACACAGAGCAGTTTTTACATTTAATAAATGGAACAGTCCACTTTCAGAGACTGGCAACCTATAGCCTCACTATTATGTAAGAGAGTAGCTCAACAAGGCCCAATAACTATCCTAAACATCAGGAAGTGAACTTGTGGAAAACTCATGGGAGGGAGTGAAATCCCTGGAGAGTATAACATGTAAAGACTGGTCAAAGTGGACTGGTCCAGTTAAGAAAACATCTGCTGGATGTGAAAAGAACCTAAGGACCCATTCCCAATAAAACTATCATTCTATGCAGGTTGATCCAACTCACAAGGACTTTTGCTGAATGCAATCAGATTAACACGTCTCTCTTTGTTTCCACTGTACTCAAATAACCATCAGCTTTTCTATATTCTACTCAACACCAGGAGGAGGCATGTTAATCTGTTCATCTGACTGCATTCAGAATGAGTCCCCTCAAAGTTGGAAGATCTACATAGAACAATAAACATGAAAATTCTCAGACACAAACCAAAAATTTTCTGTACCGTTAGCTTACGGCCAACCTGGTCGAAGGCCTTCATCAGACTGACGCGAAAAATACGAGAGGCTATCAACATCAGCCGACANAATAAATATTCAGTAAAAGAAAAATAAAAACCTTCTCAACAATGGGCTAAAATGTTTTACAATAACATTTTATTTTCTTATGATTATCTTTTTATCTCACTTACAAATAAAATTATCACTCTTACTATTAACAGGTATTATTCAACATATCCTAAAATAGGAATTCTGCAGTTCGACCCAGTTTCATAAAGGACGTTTAGCACTTACCAGTGTATAAATTCTCCTAACACCCCTTTACTAAAAGATGGATAAATTGTGTTTCATAAACATTGGTTAAACAGCCGGTAAGTTAACTGGCCAGTGTTTAACTGGATAAAATATTTAAAGGTCAGTTAACTACCCGGCTGTTTAAACACTTTATGAAACACAATTTCAACTGTCGTTTAGTTAACGGGTGTTAGGAGAATTTATACACTGGTTAGACTTCGAGCGCATTCCCAGAGATTTCGAACGATCCAACTAGATCGACCGAACTCCCGGGGGTTCACGCTAAATAGCTGTCATGCGAGCACACACATTAGATAATTACCCCCTTACAGCTTTTAGTAGGAGGGACAGGCATTTAAGCCGGCTAAGCTGACAGTAATCTAGTGAGACTCCCCATCAGGACAGATCGATCTAAAATCTGTGGGAATGGGGTCTTAAACACTGGTTAGTGCTAAACGTCCTTTATGAAACTGGGCCCTGGATGTGAAAAGAACCTATGGACCCATTCCCAATAAAACTATCATTCCATGAAGGTTGATCCAACTCACAAGGACTCTTGCTGAATGCAATCAGATTGACATGTGTCCTTTTGTTTCCACTGTACTTGAATAACCATCAGCTTTTCTGTATTCTACTCAACACCAGGAGGAGGCATGGTAATCTGTTAATCTGACTGTATTCAGAATGAGTCCCCTCAAAGTTAGAAGATCTACATAGAACAATAAACATGAAAATTCTCAGACACAAGCCTAAAATTTTCCGTACCGTTAGCTTACGGCCAACCTCGTCGAAGGCCTTCATCAGACTGACGCGAAAAATACGAGAGGCTATCAACATCAGCCGACACCAGCCACCCATGAATAGGGAAGGGGGGGTTGATCTACCTGACATTTATAAGAGGGTCCTGGCCGCTATACCACCTAGCGGTCAGTGAGTGTGAACAACTACTCACGTCAGTCTGATGAAGGCCTTTGACCAGGTTGGCCGTAAGCTAACGGTACGGAAATTTTGAGGCTTGTGTCTGAGAATTTTCATGTTTATCCAACTACCAAGCTAATGAACATTTTTGCTCATACATAGAACAATAGTTTCACTGGGAATGAGCTCTTAGCCTACCTTCTCAGGGGACGGATTGTCCTCAAACCTTCTGGCTGCCACCAGGAAGCAGTCTGGAGCAGGCTTCCCGTGTGTGACTTCCGGGTCATCCGAACTCAGCACCACATGATGAAACAAACTGAAGAAATCCTTGTGCTTCTGTGTCTTCATCTCGTAGTTCATCTTCGATGACCCTGTTGCCACACATATGGGGATATTGTTGCGGTGAAGGTGATGAACTAGCTTTTCAGCACCTATATCAGGGACATTAAGATCTTATACATTCTATGATTAAATGTCAGTAATAATATACTAGTCTATCTGTGCCTTAAGTACTGGAAATTACAAGTAGGTGTTTTACTAAGATCAAGTGTGTGTGTGTGTGTGTGTGTGTGTGCAGGGGCGGATCCAGAAATATTTTCTGACAGTCTTCCAAATTATCTTTGCTGATCCATCCTACATTTTTGACCGTCGGAAGACATTTTCTGTCTTCCAACAGAAAAAATAGATATCCGTCAATGTAAACTTGAAAATCTGACCGTCTTCTGGAAGACCCAGAAGACGGCCTAAATCCGCCCCTNCGGGGGGGTTGATCTACCTGACATTTATAAGAGGGTCCTGGCCGCTATACCACCTAGCGGTCAGTGAGTGTGAACAACTACTCACGTCAGTCTGATGAAGGCCTTCGACCAGGTTGGCCGTAAGCTGACGGTAGGGAAAATTTTAGGCTTGTGTCTGAGAATTTTCATGTTTATCCAACTACCAAGCTAATGAACATTTTTCACTGGGAATGAGCCCTTAGCCTACCTTCTCAGGGGACGGTTTGTCCTCAAACCTTCTGGCTGCCACCAGGAAGCAGTCTGGAGCAGGCTTCCCGTGTGTGACTTCCGGGTCATCCGAACTCAGCACCACATGATGAAACAAACTGAAGAAATCCTTGTGCTTCTGTGTCTTCATCTCGTAGTTCATCTTTGATGACCCTGTTGCCACACATATGGGGATATTGTTGCGGTGAAGGTGATGAACTAGCTTTTCAGCACCTATATCAGGGACATTAAGTTCTTATACATTCTATGATTAAATGTCAGTAATAATATACTAGTCTATCTGTGCCTTAAGTACTGGAAATTACAAGTAGGTGTTTTATTAAGATCAAGTGTGTGTGTGTGTGTGTGTGTGTGTGTGTGTGTGTGTGTGTGTGTGTGTGCAGGGGCGGATCCAGAAATATTTTCTGACAGTCTTCCAAATTATCTTTGCTGATCCATCCTACATTTTTGACCGTCGGAAGACATTTTCTATCTTCCGACAGAAAAAATAGATATCCGTCAATGTAAACTTGAAAATCTGACCGTCTTCTGGAAGACCCAGAAGACGGCCTAAATCCGCCCCTGGTGTTTGTGTGTGTGNCAAATGATTATTGGAAGATATTTATTTCAGCTGCCACTGTTGTCTTGATCACACTTTGACTGGTTTGGTGCCCTGTTTTCACTGACCAGAGGACAACTTAATGGCAATATACATTGCTCAACATATGCATACATCAAGAAAATTTACAGGGAAAAAACTACATGTTTTGCTTATATACCTACCAATAATGATACGAGATACAAGGTAACTGTTCATCCCTCGGATCCTATTTTCTAGCTCCCATGGAATAGATTTGTTGTAAGTTGCCAGAATCTGATTTGTGACATCTCGGTAGATTCGGGCTGTATCTGAAACAGGCCAGGATCAGTCTGAGACTAATTTCTCTCACTATATACATACCAATGATAATTCTGGCTGCTTCTACAGCTTTCTTCCCCATTTGTTTATTCTTGATTTCCCAAGTGAACTTTTCTCCATACTCGTCCAATAGCATCTGAGTGGCTTCAGTGTATAACCTTTCAGTGTCTGTAATGTAATAGAAAATAGCTGCATCTACATCTACTGGTGCGTTAGTAGTATTGTTAATAAATGTAAGTAACATGTGCATTTCGAACGAAAGTGTGCAACGTACGGTACAGGTGCAACGTACGGTACAGGTGCATTAAAAATACCAGTAAATTCATTACATGATGATGTAATATGAAGGGAACGTTATAATAACTTATATACTTGAGCGAAATCTCACCTAAAAGAAGACCGTCCATGTCAAAAATGACATGAGTCACAGGATTGTACTTCGACATATTTTTTTCTCAAATGCTACGTAAAATCATATCACAGTGCACACACGCATTTGCAACAATGAACCAAACACACGCGTAAGGTAGCTCGTGTAACCGAGAAGCAATCAATCTATGTCAAGGTCATGCCAAAGGATAAACAAGAAAAGCCATAAGTGGATTTCTTTACGCATTGTGCATTCAAACAAAATTTAAACATGTACAGAATGCAAACAAAATTTAAGTTTTTTGTATTCGTGACGTATTTGGTATGATTAAGCATACATAAAATACTTAATTTTTTAGTCTCTCTTGATGCATGTTCATAAACAATTACAACTGAACACCAGGGGCTTGGACGACAGACCCGGTTAAATGGATTTAGAAAAAAGTCGAGGATCTAATCGCTGAGGGATTTCATAGCCAGTCTTATTTTAAAGTGTATTCACAAGTGAGAAAGTGCACACTGAGAAAATACCATGACATTGGGGTCTTGACGGCAAACGGACCCTCAAATACCCTGATGTGTCAGGAATGATACTCGCGTGGTACCACAATTACGTACTAGTCTAATTTGTACAGCGTACCCGTAGAATTAAGAAGTATTGTGACCAAGATATGGTGTAAATATCACTTTTACGAAGTAAGTGGGAACGATCTACGGTTTCTATTGGACAGCCATTCCAGTTTCAGTTGTATTGGCACTATTTCTCAACTCCATAATTCTACCATACGCATTATGCTGTGCATGCCCTGACAAACTATGCACTATAGTACCCGTACGTTGCCAAAATAGGTACGTCTCATGTGTATTTGACTAAAACTGCCAAATAAGAAAAAAACATAATTTATAAATTATTATCCATGGGGACACCAAAATGATTATTTGAAAATTAGAATGCAAATTTGATAAATATGATAACTAAGAAAGTATAAATCTGATGAGATTTTTTTCATTGTGGAACCGGATATTTGCACAACCACATATTAAAATCTTCCTCGTGTCACACCATCAATCTTGCCACCCAATTACGGTTATTTCTAAAAATAATCATTTTTTATATGAGTTGGGAATAAAACCTTTATGAAGAATCTCGATCATAATTTGCCGCTAGTTATTTTGTTAATTACAGGATGTACCTATTTTGACAGACTTGCCTATTGCGTCAGGCCTTGATATACCTACTGTATTATTTTTATTACCAGATGTATTTTAATTTCATAGGGACCTTTGAACCGACATATTCTGATAGCTTTATCCAAATTTTATTCAATTTTTCACGCAGTTACCAAGACACCTTTTTTAATTCTTGTGAAGTTGTCAGTCACTAGATGTACCCATTTTAGCAGATCATGTGTCTATTGCGCCAGGCCTTGATAAGCCTACTGTATTATTTTAATGACCAGGTAAATTTTAATTTCATAGGGGCCTCTGAACCGATGTGTTCTAATAACTTGATCCAAACTTCATCCTATTTCCCATGCAGCCTGTGAACTACCTTGACAAAGCTTTGACAGCTATAAGACGGCCCTTTGACACCTGATCTCTTGACCATGACGTATCACCTCTCATTCTGTGGGTGTGGCCTTATGGTTATTTATCAAGTGGGCGTGGTCGAGTGCTTTATCACACATGGTGGGCGGTTCCTAAGTCGGGTGGACAAGCTGGCCGGGGCGTCTGCTGGAGCCTTAGTAGCTGTTGCCATGGCGACCAAGTTGAAAGAATTCCATGTACGTCTATGAAGAAATGCATGCAGTGTTTGAAAAGTTGGAACTTGAGACTTAACATTAATAAAACAAAATAAGAAATTTACGAACTTTTCATTTTTAAAGGGATTTAGGTGACTTACTCAAAGCCCTGTATCAAATGAATTCCCATTAGCATTATCATTTGTTAAGATTTATAAGAATTTTCATTAATTGATTGATTAAAACATTTATTGATTTGTCAATTTATTATTCATTTTCCAATTAGACATTCGTTATTTTTAGTTGATTATATAAATGGCTCATATTTTAGATAATGAAGGATTTGTCCTACAAAATGGCGGCAGGTATTCGCCAGAGGGAAATCGGTATATTTACTCAAAAGTCAAATATAATGCTCAGCGTGGAGCAACATCTCCGCGAATTTCTGCCAGAAGATGCCCACCAGGTGGCGACAGGGAAGTTGTTTACGTCACTGTCAGAGCTCTCCAGGCACAACAAGCCCAGGTTGAAAAACATTCTTATTTCAGAATACGAAAGTAACGATTTTCTAATTCAGGTAATACAATTGTTTGTTTCTTTTTGTGATGCATTTGCGAAAACTTGCACATATTACTCAAGAAAATTCACGTTTTAAGAGGAGAACTTGATAGGAAACCGATAGAGGCTGCAAGGCATTTACTGGATTGATTTCCAGTGCCAAAAGGATAATTGGTATTAAAAATTAAAGCACACATTTAATCTTGTACATGGCCAATAAAATATACAGTGCTAATAAATATTGTGGATTAATCTTGTAGAAAAATAGATCAAGCAATTTTTAAAAAATTCTTTTAAAAGGATTAATAGATAGGAAATGTCAGTGGTTATTACAGGAGGTGGAGAGTATAACCTCTGTGTGGACGTTCACTCTTCCCGCACCTACCAGTTATGTATTGTGACAGAGTGCCGAGGACACACCTAACGCATCACTGGATGAAAAAATTCTTCAATCCTGGTGTAACAGGAATGGTAGTCCTTGGGATGGGTTTGCGGGGTCCCATATGGTAAGTACCCTCTACCAGGGCCGCAGTTATTACTGTGAACATTTTTGCTGAGGCACAGAGATTACAGAGATTACAGAGAGTACAGAGATTAGGTAGTAGGTATCTATTTAACCAGAGACATATCTGTTAATATCTGGTGAAAAATCAATCTTTGGCCCTGGTAGAGGGTATATGATAAGTACATGTTAGGGTTAGTCGGAGTATTAGATAAGTGTATGGGACGAATGTCACCTGTACAGAGTAATGAGGAGCAGACTACGTTTCCTAGCAGACTGCCATTCCTGTCACACCGGCGTCCCGCAGTGAAATATTTGATAACGTTTGGTGATATCATCTGTTCCCCTTTTGAATGACTGACATATTGAAGTACATTGAACCTATTGTGTTGGCACCATCTGCAGCTAACCCTTTCTCTCTTTCGAAAAAAAATGATGTAATTATGTAAGAATAAAAAAGTACAATTATCATGGTTGTAACAGACATGGATGACAATGTATTGGGTGGGCAAAGCCCTGGACTCATGTTTTTAAGCGCATTCAGAACAAGATGATCCGCGGACTAAATATGGCCGACCACACTTCAAAAGCGATCCCGCTGATTCCCGATGGTCTCTCCGCCTCCACACGCGCCATTAAACAGATTGAATCTCAGCTACGAGGTTTAATTGCCAGGCCTCTGCAACGACAGCGCGTGTTGAGGCGGGAAGAACATCATGGAATCAGCGGGATCGCTTTTGAAGTGGGGTTGGCCATATTTAGTCGGCGGATCAGTTAGTACTTGGATCATCTTTTCTGAATGGTGCCCATCCCCTCCCCCGGTCACGGGCGACGGATTTAATCCTCCACTCTTCAAGCTCAGTCTATAGCCCTACATTTGTTTACTGTTGACATGCTTATATTGCATTCCAGTGTTTACTCGCTTCATGCCACATCCCTGGATATGCAGGCACGACAAAACCTTTACACATCCGTGGAAAGGTATGTTTCCCTGTACTGCATGTATCTGCATTAGTGTGTTAGCAAGGAAACTGTGGGACTCGAGCTGATATATATTATTTTCACTTTGTTCCTGATCATTATTAGCGACCGTATGATGTTAATATGAATATAATGTTGAGATTTATTCTCTGTGACAATATAGGTATCTTATGACTCAAATGATTTTGGAAAACGATAAAATAATATTAATCATTAAAAACAACAGCAATAATAATCACATCAACAGTAATAATGCAATACTTATTATGACTGCTAATATTGTTGTTTTTATTATTGGAGTTATTATTATTATAAGGATTATTATTCCCAGTAACCAAACTGACATTGAATTTAACTTCAGTCGTACATTGACGGCGGATTCACGGACAACCTCCCAGTATTTCCCACGGGGAGGACCATCACCGTGTCCCCGTTCTCGGGGCATCAAGACATCAGCCCCACCGACAGGAGCGTGTTGGGTCTGAGGGTCAGGACGGTGAACCAGGACTTCCAGTTCAACCTCAGGAACCTGCACCGTGGGGTAAGGGCGCTGGTGCCCACCAATAAGACCGGACTTGAAAGAATATATGAACAGGGTTGGGGGGATGCGGTGAGGTTTTTGAAGAAGGAGGGGCTATTTGATCAGTGATGGTTTTTTCCCCATTTTGGGATGGTTACCGTGAAGGTACCATGCAGATTAAGAGTGCAGAATTCACTTTTCACATTCAGGGCGCAGAATCCGATTTTCTAACTCTGCTCTCCGCACCGCATGTCAATAGATTCTTATTGATTCAAAAATAAATCTTGATAGATTAATCTTTGATAAAGAGAAGATTGTGCGTATGCATTTTTCAATGACTGTGATCTATTTGAAAACATGGCGGCACATAGCAATATTCTTAACCAGAAAGGGACTTCTCTTGGCCCAGATGCGTGTGTCGTGTCACTCTTTTTAGGATGGAACTTTAGCTAACTTCGTCATTTTGTTTTAAATATGACTGTAATATACCATACTATACTGGAGTAAATGAGATTGACTGACAGTGATATCTTCAGGATTCACGCATAGTGAATGAAGGCAATTTAACGGCGCCTAAGTGGTGCGAATATTCTAGTAATTTAGACGAGACAGTTATTCCAAAGCACCCGATAGTCGAAAAGAACTACGGTATTCACTTGATTCTTCCAATTATCAAATTTTCAGATACATTGTCTTATTATCACAAAAATATATTTTTATATAGCATTTGTGGTGGTTTTGCTGCATAGAATAGAACTAAAGACTAGCCTGCTTTTAAATTTTGTTTCTACCACTTAATAGGCATGTTCTAATTAAAAAAAATTGACTTTAAAAATACAGTATCTGTAAAACCCACAATATTCCCACATTGAAAAGATCGAGTCATTACCGCAAGCCAGTGCTTATTGTGTCTCACTGTGGTCGATCGATACTTATTTAATGGATCAGACTTGATTCTTAATGATAATGTGTTATGGATGATACCATTCCATCGATTTTTGTTTTGTAGAAGAACGTGGAATGGCTTCCGTTTCATCTTCTATTGATTTTGGTCGATGAATGGTACCAAGTGGGCGATGTGGGTGAAATCTTGATTCGTCACATGAATTTTTATTTTCAGATTTGTATAAATTGGTAGGAAAGTCGAGCAAAGTGACGTAATGTAAATTGTGTATTTGTATATGACAGTGTGCTTGTATGTTACACCGTGACAATTATAATTTTTTAAAGTTGTTTCTAAATATAAAAGATGGTATCAAAAACAACATGGTTTGTTGGTTTTATATAACGATTATTTCACCTTGAAACAATCACTGTGATAGTTTTATTTTCATCAGTTCTTTTCATAATTTAAATCAATATCATAAAAACTTTAAATTTTCTTCCAGTAACTGCACTATCTACATTTTGTACACGTTCCTGTACGAACCAACATTCCTGCCATTCGACGGCAACTATAAGACTACTGTTAGAAGCAGTGCTTGGCGGTAACCGGACAAACCAAACACATATGGACGTCAGAACCGTGCTAAATATTTACCGTTAAAGAAACGATCTACAAAAACTGCAAACCTAATATCTATTGGAAAACTACTCACACAATGGCTTCCAAAACAATATGTTTTGCAAAGTTTCAATCTAACCTATAACCAGGTGATTTTGATTAAGTATCGAGTCTACTAACGATGAAAAATACTATATTTTGTTGGTACTTGTCACAACATCACAGGCTCCCATTTTGTTAAACTACTGCTACTTCACTGAAAAACCGTCTCAGAAACTATCAATCTAGGCGTCTAAACAGTAAGCGGGAAAAACTCTTTATCTTTGAAAGAGCCTGCCCCGCTTCAATCATAACGATTCAAATCACAGTTAACTTATTGAGATCATAGGTTTCATTTGAACAATCTAACAATATTCCATCAGTGTTACCAAAACACTGATATTTAACAGGAAATACCGTAATGGTCCATGCCAACAGTTTTCACTTCTCTAATAAAGAGAAACTTCCTGATTCTAGCGAGGGACGCTTTCGCTTGAAGTCAGATTAGACGTATTCCAATCACACTTTTTCTTTTAAATGCCTCGACGCATTGTGTACATATTCCTCTTGCACCGTTATCCATAGGATATAACTGAGGTAAACAACTTCGTTCACATTAATTAGTAACAAGGAATCGTCTTGAATTTATGGCGTAATTAACGGTCTCACACTTAAACTGATACTGACGTTCTATCGTCTCAGCATACTGGTATAACACAAAGAAAAATAATCAAATAAATACAAATGAAAAATTAATAAAAGAAAAAGAGAACAGAACGAACAACCACTGCAACGGTGTCAAAAACGAACAAACATAAACTTCAATGCCACTGTAATTATAGCGAGGTAGTCAAACATGGATCTCCTGGGTCCACCAATTAGGCGTTTCCTTTTGCAAAATTGTATTTCAAAATGCAGCAAGCCTTGTTCGCATTACGAGAAAACTGAAACCAGAATTGTGTTGGTACATTGCGGCGAAAAGTGGGTTGTCGTGTGATTACTTCTTTTCGACTTCTTTTCGTCTTAAGGAGCGGTGTCTTTTTGTAGTACGTCATAAAGGTAGAAATTCGTTTTCACAAAAAGCTTAAGGTGGACCTTAAAACTATCAGTACCTTAGTGCTTTTTCGTTACATAACATGACTTCGTCAAGAGGTAGGTCGCTTCATTTCAAGTCTTCTTCTTTTTTTTTTTTTTTTTGAAAAATAAACGCATTAACTTGCGTTCTTGAAAGAAAACTTTTTTCCAAAAACTGTGTGATGTTGAAAAAAAAGCTTCATGTACACATTGTAAGTTGAGGCATATCATCATCGGTGTCTTCGTCCATTCCGTTTTCCGTTCGCCGAGCTTTGTTTTCTGAGACTTGAGATTCAAACATTCCCGGCAACGCGCCTGCGCTGTTATTGAACAGTTCAACACCTTTACCCGCCAGACTGCAGACGTCTGCTATCCTAAGCTCACAGATGGCGTCTGCTTCACTGGGCTTGGCTTGGATGATAGGACGGATCGCAGGAGGAAATGGAAGTTCTGCAGAAAGTTTCTCAGCTGTTGTTCCTTCTTTGACTGCAAACACCGCTCCGCGTTCGTGTAAACCGTCAAATGACGTCATCATGGCGTCCGGAGCCTCTGTAGTTGCTGGGTGTACGGGGGACCGGAAACGAGACCTTTGTAATTCTGCGGGGTCACACATGACATACAGCACGGGCGGCTCGTCATCATCCGGACTTCCGACATCCGCAGAACCTGATTGGGTAAAATCAGTTTCCATTTGGACAGGTTCTTCGTCGTAGTCACTTATTTCTTTCTTAATGCTAACTCTCATGTCGTCTGGCTCTAACATGTTATTTGGGGCGGAACTGGTGCTTGGCGTAACAACAGACCCGGCATTTACCAACTCCACTACCTGTGTCTCCGCCGGCTGTACCTTTGGCAACCTTTCCATCGAGGTACCAAAGATTCTTCTCAGGTTATCATCTAGCTTGACCAGCTCAATATACCCCTGTGATTTAGCCATGTCCCCTGTCACCCACTTACACCTGTTGTTCACCACGCTGCTGGCTATCGCTTCAGCAAAATCGCTCATCTTTAAGGACACGAACGTGAGGTTTCCGTGAAAATTAATGAAATCGTTTTTCTTCATGTCGAGGTAATCCAGCACGTCAAACAGTACAACGTAATTGCAGGGTCTGAAAATCAAATACACGCAAAATATGAATACGCACAAAGTTGGAGATTTCTCCTATTTACTCGAAACCAGCAGCTGCCAAACACTTACTGAAGTTTGATTTCTTAAGTTCATCAAACTAAAACTTTATCGGAATTAACGATGTTTTAGCAGAGGATCGCGTGCAAAGGTCACGTGCACCCTCACAGCACGTGGCTGGGTGTGCCCACGTGAGACACGTTTTGTTCGGTGTAACGCAACTGAGAGTCCACCCGCCATTTAACTATACTGGTTAGATTTGGCCTGGCGTAAGTGGGTCAAAATCTAGGGCGAAGCTTACCTGTGCAAATTAATGGGAATCGGACGCTCTATCAGGAGGGACTGAGGGTTCGATGAAATACTGAGGTCTGATTCCCGTGGATTTGCACACGGAAGCCCTGGCCTAGATTCTGCCTCACTTACGTAACGCTAACCTTAACCTGTATGAATCCAATTGAAGGCGGACTCTCAGTTTTATGAACTCTCAATTTCGTCATACCTGATCCGCCACCATACTTACAGCAGCTATATAACACTATAGAAACAGTTTCACAAAAAGCGTGATTTTTTTCTATTAACGTTTGACCAACAATCAATGTAGCTAACTAAGCCAAAATAGACTATACCAAGACTGGGAGCAGTAATCATTGTCAGAACAATAACTATTTTCTACAGAGCTTAAGTGTTAAAAATCGACGTAATCGTCCTTTAAAAATCTTTACAAAATGCACCCAGGTCGAATAAAACGCACAGCAGTCTTTGCAAAAGCCAGTTATCGACTACAGAAATGAACTTCTGAATACTGAACCATGTCCCTGCACTATATTTAACGTGTCCTACGTACCCATGGTCGTCCTCGCACACGATGTTATAACAAGGCACGTGCGGCTTGTCCCCCATCTCGAACTCGATGTCGCTCTCGTAGCCGCAGTCGGAGTCCGAGTCTGAGGGCATGTCTGCAAAGATGTCGTAACCCACCTCTTCTTGGGGATCTAAGCGGCATGGGAAAATAGGTTAATAACTTTGTAATAGTGTGTGTGTATGTGTGTGTGTGAGAGAGGGGGGGGATTTGTGCGTTTCTATGTGTGTGTGTGTGTGTGTGTGTGTGTGTGTGTGTGTGTGTGTGTGATGAGAGAGGGGGGGATTTGTGCGTTTCTATGTGTGTGTGTGTGTGTGTGAGTGTGTGTGCGTGTGT